AATGGAAGGTAAGAAATGGCAGATGGATGACATGAGGAAGAAAGAATTATGAAATAGCCGAATGTCGAACCAAAACGACTTTCAAAAATCTGACAATGCGAATGACGTAAACGTGAAAGAAATGCAAAATAGCGAAATGTCGAAACAGAAGAAATAGATGACAGGTACGTGTTCAAGGGTTTCGTGGAACTAAAAGAGTTGTTGTGTTACGCCATTCAATATTAAAAACCTTTTAATGTTAAATACGCTTTTTATTAAGTTGAAAAAACTACATATTTCGCCAGCCAAAAAGTGTATAAATAAATATATAGCATCTTGCTATAAGATTTATTTATAACAAGTAAGAAAGTCTAAGTTCGGGCAGAGCCGAACATTAAATACCCGGCGCAAATATTAAATATATGTTTTTCACCTACACGCTACATGGTAAGCCGGGGTGTATCAATTTTGAGTAAATTAGCGTCCTTAAATTTCGAAATATTGAAGTTTCAAGCATTTCTAAAATTTACCGTTATATGAAAAGCCGTAATTTTAGTCCGATTTCAATAATTTTGAACGTTTTGCTTTTATGTGGCAAGCACAATAACCATACTGAGTTTGGTAAAAATTGGTAGAACGGTTACCGAGATAAATATATGTGATCATAAGTGGGCGGTGCCACGCCCATTTTCCAACATTTTATCATAAACGTATTTCTTGGTAAATAATTGTTGCAAGCGTCAATTTTGAATAAATTAGCTTTAATATTTACTGATTTATCGAAGATTTCGTATTTCTCTAAATTACCGTTATATGGGATGTGGGCGTGTTTATTGTCCGATTTTAAAAATTTTCGGCCGTTTGGTATGTTTTAGGAAGGCTAACAACTGTGCCAAGTTTGGAAGAAATCGGTGCAGCGGTTGCCAAGATATATACATGTAACCAAAAGTGGGCGTGGCTACGCCCATTTTTTCAAAGATTTATAATATTCTTATTTATAGTATAAAAATTATTGTAAATATAAATTTTGAGTGAATAATCTTCAGTAGTTATTAAAATATCGCAGTTTCCGTATTTCTGAAACTGACCGTTATGTGGGAGGTAGGCGTGGTTATTGTTCGATTTTGCCCATTTTCAATACCATCCGTCCTACGCCCGAAAGAAGTACACGCACCAAGTTTAGTTAAGATATCTTAATTTTTACTCGAGTTATCGTATGCACAGACGGACGGACGGACAGGCAGTCACCGCCTAATCGATTTCCCTTTTCATCCTGATCATTTATGTATACATTTGTCTGTATCTATCTCGATTCGTTTTGCCCGTTACAAACAACCGTTATGTGAACAAAGTTATGATACCCTTGTGCATAAGTGCGCTCGGGTATAAAATACGGTATATGCTTATGGCCTTATTGATAAAAAATAAAATAGATTTAAAGAGCTCTATACAGTAACATTAAAAAAAATAGATTTCTTTACTTTTTAAGAATTTTGGTATAACATTTAACTTATCTGTTTATTATTCTCAAATTTTTCTTTTCCTTAATACCTCATTTGACTGAGTTTCAATTACACCCAGTAAAAATCGTGATAAAAACATTAGAAAGTTATCTCAATTCGTCGGCCTTGATTTATTTCTGACGTTTGCAAACATTTTAAAATCATATGAAATTGAAAATAAAAAAATGAAATTGTTCACAATTGTTGTTTGAGATTAAAAATTAGAATGTGTGTGTGAGCTTGAGTTCGAATTTTAAAATTATATTGCTGGCAAACGTTATACTGTCTCAATGATTTTACCTTGTAATGTTTTTATCATGGCAAAATTCAAAATGTTTTATAAGAAATTTGTTGGCTTGTTGATTTGTTGATTTTTTGTTCAAATTGAAAAGATTGCCTCATTCGCACACTTCTCTCATGCTTTTTTATCGTAGTTATTATTCTGTTGACATCTAAATTGCCATACATTTTATGTCGTTGCCAATACATTGTTTTCCGGCGTTTCCTCTGTGAAGTTTTATAACTACATTCATAAAAATGTTACTAATTTTGGTTTATAATTTTTTCCATCTTGCTATTGCTGAATATCAAAAAGGAATTAATAAATAATAATAATAAGTTAGTTACAATTTTAGTGAATGGTTCTTGCAAATAATAGTATTTTGTTTTTGAAATGACTTGATCGCCGGCAGGAACTAATCAACTTTTTTGCCAAAACCAAAGCAAACGGGAAGGAAAAATAGTTGTTCATTAACGATTTGTCCGAAATATTGTCCTTGAAACGCGATACTGCTCACTAAATTTGCAAAAATCAAATTTTTTCACCTAATTGTTATATTTTTCTTCATTGTGGTAAATTTCCACATCATCACAATTCATACCTACTTCCGCAAAAATCACCCTTTTTCGTATTTTCCTTGTTAAAAGTTATTTTAAGTCATATATTTTTATCCCCTTATTCCTATAAAATAAAAATTTTAAAAAGCTTTTTAAATTGCCGTTTGCAAACATTTTTCAATTTATAAACCTTTTTAAAGCTTAGTTTTTATGAATAAGGCTATTAGAATTTAGCACAATTAAAACACGTTCCCTATCGAAAAATGTATTATTAAGAAAATTGCCTGTTCTCACATTTTCTTTCAACATCCAATTCGACTTTGTTTACTTTTTGTACAGATATGTCATCGCCGCCAGGACGGCGCAATCTTGTATTCTATCTTTCTTGTCAAATATGCTGTATATCTAACTGTCATACTACTATTAATGGTAACCATATTCATTAAAATCGTTTCAATTGGTAATAAAAGTAGTTTACATACTAGTCTAAATATCTTTTTTAGTATAAACTAGCTTTTTTAATTCTAAAATAAATCAACAATCTCAAGATTTATAAAGAATTTGTCTTCAAAAAATACGTTCCAAAGCATCCCTGTGGATATCATAATTCAAATGCAAATTAGAATAGAAATTTTGATGCAAAAGATTTTCCGCGATAATAATCATACAAATTTATCATCTTACTTGTCCGTATGTCGCTCTGGAAAGAAATATATTTTAATTTATATGTTTTCTTAAAAATAAATGCAGATTTACCTATTTTTTCCACTGGCAGGCACGAATATTGTATTCAAAACAGAAACAATGGCAACGAATTTTACACACATTGTTGTATTTTAGCGCAAAACGATAAGTTTCACAAATATTTTAAATTATTGCCTGGAACATACACATTTATCGTTATTATCGGAAATGCAAGACTTGGCATGCATTTTTAATTTCTTATTTAATGAATTCAAATGAATAAAAACACATTTTTCTAAAATATTTCTCAATTTACATTTTAAAGTTTTTTCTGAAACTTGAATGTAACTCTGTGCGGAGAATGAAAGAATTGAAAATCAGGTGATCTCAGCTGTTTTCAAATGTAAACAAACAAAATGGCGCTTTCCATACTTGTAAGCCATGATACAAACAAGAAAGCAGTTCCATTTAATGACATTCGTTGTTGTTGTTAACCGTTTGACTTTTAATAAAATTATGGCATTTCATCAAATTCATGCTACCTGATCTCTAGAAGAAATATTTTTTTTTAAAGCAGACATTTGACATTTCATCAAATTCATGCTACCTGATCACTAGAAAAATATTTTTTTTTTAAAGCAGAAGATTTTATCAGTACTTTCAAAGATGTGGAATATGATGGACTTGAAAATTATGCCGGCTACATAATTTCGAAAATGGGGTTGATGACTAGGTTTCCGAACGCATGAAGTAAGTGATCAAAATATACTTCCATATCGTCGTTTTAAGTACAAAACCGCGTATCGTCGTTCTGCAAAACCGCCAATAATTGGATTTGCTCACACAAGCTCTTGGCTCAAGCCTTATCCATTCGTCCTGAAATATACTAGCCAGAAATGTGATTGCTTAATAAAAAAGAGAACCATTTCGAAATATGAGTGTTTTTACTCTCTAGAAAATAATTTATGTAAACTCATATAGGCAGTTTTGCATTTTGTTGATACGCGGTTTTGTACTAATACGACGTATGTTAATTGTTTATCGGAGGGCGGTCTGTTCAAGCCGACTTCAGGTTTTTTTTTTTAAGTTCAAAATTTTTGAAAGCTAATTTTTTGCAAAATCTGACGAGAAATTTAAAAGTAAATTTGAACCTAAACATAAAAAGTTTTTAAGTATTTGGGAAGAACATTCTTTAGAATTAGATTTTTAGATCGCAAGATTGCATCCAAAATAAGAAAACGAAAAAATAACAGCATAATGCGCGCGTGGTTTTTATTATAAAATAAAAAGAACAATTACAATGAAGTCTCCTTGATTTGAAATATTAATACATTGGCATAAATATTGGAAGGAAAATACTCCGATTTTTTGTTTTAATATTACCAAATTGCAAGGCCGATGATAATACTCATAAATAACTTCAAAAAATTTTATTATCCGTCAAAAGTTGTTTATTGAAACTACTTCTTTTTTGCATCATGCTTGCAAAATGTATTCAACAAAGTGTGATTGATTTTTACATTGCTCTCATAAGAAGCAGGCTATAATGTCAAATTGAAATGAATTGTTAACCCATTTGAAAATGTGTTTTTTTTTCAAATTTGTATTAAAAAAAAATACACACAAATTTTTCAAGCAACAAATTTTCTTAATAAACGTGAAATTGTTAAGAGATAAGCCGCCGAGAAGAGCAAGTAAGTACATTTAAGTTTGGTAATAAGTAAATACGTTCGACTTTGCTTAAATATTTAATGTAAGGAAACCAAGATGAAACGGAGCAAAACCTTTGAACGTGCGCTGTATGCAATAAAAGTCAGGACACGAAAATAGTGCGATGTTTTAAACCACCTAGTTGCAAATTAAGACGGCAGCGATGGGAAGAAAGCTGTGGTGTTGTACTACGTGATTCATCTCGCGTTTGTGAAAACCACTTCAAGGAAAGTGATGTCCAAATCAAACACTTTCCAACGAGCTCGTTTATACCCACGCGCAGTCCCAATGCCATACGAAATAACTGATACAAGTGAGGATTTAGTACGCGATCAGGATACATTCTTTGTTGAAGCCCAAACTCAAACAGACGGCTCTTTAGAATGTACGTTGCGAACAGAAATATTTCGGCTTACCGAAATAATTAAACCATGCAAGCAAGTATGGAAGAGCTTAAATTAAAACCGCTCGAAGCAAGGTCTTTAATGGAAAAGGTCGTATGAAAAAGAATTAATTTCAAAATTGTTAGAGTTAAGTTCACATATAAAATTGGTAAAAAATGTAAAATCATACTTTTATAAGTGTCGAATAATGTTTAGGATAAAAAATTGAAATATAAAAATAAACGCACAAAAGCTTAAAACTTGGACAATTAAAAACAAGAAAATTGCTAAAACGATTTTAAAGCATTGTTCACTCAAAATCGGTACACGTTCCAGCAATTCCTGTACAGCAATTGTTTCAATGTATTAAAAAGTTGCAATGCAGATCGTTAGACAATAGATCTACCATTATGAGGTTTAAATTTCATAGTACTGGCTTTTAATTTGACAGTTTTATTCGTTTTGGAATTGGCTGCTCAAAAAATAATGTTGAACAAATTCGTTGAAAATCCGACATTCTCGAGATAAAAATCAAATTAAAATTAAATATACCAAAAACTTCTAATTTTCCTCCAAAAATCAATGAATGGATTCCTTCTGCTTAAACTAACAGATTAAGCTAAGCATAAAAAAAAATCATTTCGCACCAGCTTATGGATAAGGCTCTTTACCTCAATTATAAAAAAAAATCGGCTTATCAGAAGAAGATCGCGCGAAAGAATTGGAAAACGATTATCCACAGTTCAGCGAATGGAAGCTATGCCAAGACTTAAACCTTATCGAGGTATAATATATATATTTCTGTTACATTAAATAAATTTGATAACAAAAATCGCACCCGTTTACTTTACCCCAAATGTTCACACCAAATGTGGTATTTTTTAGCAATGACTAAAAAACATGTTTAAAACTTGACTTCGGTCAACTCCCACGTTAAAAGTTTTAAGCTAAAAAGAAACAGGGTGATATCCTCTTAAAACTAAATTTATAGAAGTTGACACAGTTGTCAAAGGGATATGAAATGACGAGAGAATCGAAACAGTCTCATTAAAACTCGATCAGACTCCACAACGGGTCATATGATCCCAGAAATATGCTGGAAGGAGCGCTTGCATAAAGTGTTAAGCCATTGTATCATTTACTTTAGACCTTCAGTAAAGTTTTGGTTGATTGTAAAGAAAATTAATTATTCACAGGTAACTTTAAATCGGTTTGAAGCCAAAAGATATGAATAATGTTCTGGAACTCACCAATTTAAAAATATGTCCTATTTACGTCAAATCGAAGGTATCTATTCAAAACAAAATAAGTAGAGATGCGCGGACTATGAAAAAACCTAAACTAAAGATAGCTTAGTGGAACAAGTTGATTACTCAAGTCTCTAGAACGGGTGTTCCGAAAAATTTTATCAATATCAAAGAAATTATCTGTTATTTATTTATACAAGCAAAATATGAAATTTCGCTAACATCTATCTATAGCGGACTACTTCCCTTTATTTTTTCATATATTAAATATTATTTTCTGAAAACCTGTTAAAAAGATATAACCTATTTTGTGCGTACCGATTTTGAGTGAACAATGCTTTATAAACAATTTGTTTTATTTTATTGACAAAATAAATGTGATGTAAGTAATGTAAGTAAAACAAAACTATAATCGAAATAAAAGCCTAGGGCATCAGTGCTGATAAGATACATGCATCACTAAGGGTTAATTCGTTTGTTTATACTTTTTGACATTATAGTACCTTAAAAGAGAGCCGCACTGAGTTGTCTATCACACCTTGTTTGATACACCTTGCATGCTTGTAAGCCTATACAATGATATTAAATATGAAATAAAAGAATGTCAAAAATTAATTTAAATAAAATTTTGGTATTGTTTATTTTTCGAAATCGCTTCTAATTCTTTTCTTTTATATTCAACAGTTTTTGTTTTATTTGGTTTTTTGCTCTTATGTCTGCGAATTTCTTCGAGCTCTTTTTTCAGCTCGTAAACCTTTTCAGTGGCTAACGATCTATTTGGCAAATTTTGTCTAAAATGGCAAATTTGAATTTATTGAAGTTGTACGATTTATTCGGTTGTAAGAACGACAGTCTTAGCGTGAGGGATCTCATTTCTGTCCTGAAGGACATCCATTAAAACTTAGGCAATGTGTACAAAGTGTTGACGGTAATGTTTCAAGGTTAGTTTTTACTTTTTAAAGATCGAATTTGTACAAGTTAAGCTCTACCCAGAATTGCAGANATTGAAGTTGTACGATTTATTCGGTTGTAAGAACGACAGTCTTAGCGTGACGGCGTGAAGTGTTGACGGTAATGTTTCAAGGTTAGTTTTTACTTTTTAAAGATCGAATTTGTACAAGTTAAGCTCTACCCAGAATTGCACGACGGTAAAGCGGTCAACGGTTAACCGCTGTCAAATTTAAAACTCACAAAGGCGTATGGAATGGCGCATTATTGCGGCGGCAGCGGTTTTACCGCCGACGTTTTTCGGTTGATTTAAATTTATTTATATTTTTACCGCCCAGCGGGGACGGCACAATGTTGAGTGAGTGTTGATTGTAGTAATTTTTATTATTTTCGCAAGTTTGGATATGTTTTCATCCGTTTTTATTTCCAGAAAATTTATACATATGCACGTATCGAAACAATATTTAATTTTAATGATAATTTTCAAATCAAAATGACAACTGTCGTGCGCCGCAACTGTTCTCTTAAAGGGGAAATACACGACACCAGCTTGCTGACACCATCAAGTGATTGTACTATCAAGCTCGACGCATGTAACATACCAGCATGCTGGTACAATCTTTATTTCTTTACAAATTAGGTCCCGAAAAGATCGAAATGAGTAGAGCCGAAATTTCATAATTTTTCTACCATTTTGTAATTTTCTAATTACTTGCATATGCTTTCTATTCTTTATCTTTATAGGCATATGATTGTCTAAGAGATGAGGGGTATATCCATTTTCGATTCAACCACTCCCTCCACGTTGAAGACCCGGACTTTCAGCAGCATACGAACACGATTGAAGGGTTGTGGCGTCACGTAAAATCCTCGATGCCTTAATATCATCGCAAAAAGCCATTTCTTTAATGGGTATTTGGCTAAATACATCTTTAGCCGAAATTGTAAAAATTTTCACACGGATCCATTATACACCCTTTTAAAAATTTCAAGGAATTTGTGAAATTAAACCTGCTGAAAAGAGAGAAGATTATGAAATAGACATTTCTTTGTAAAAAGACGAATATGTGTGTTACTACTCAAATATTTTTTAATTTTATAGGTTTACTATAAGTTTCCTAGTCCCTAGTCGTAGGTGCATGCACAAGAAATGTTATAGTATACCTTTGACAAAAGAAGAGGGACTTCTGTCCGCTTCTTTGGCAACACAGAATGAGAATTATGCTAAGGGTTACAATCCCTAAGCGCGGCCAAAGGCCGCCTACGCCGAAAGGAGTTGCGCTTCTCTTCTCCGGCAACACAGGAATGAGAATTCTCCGAGCCGTTCGCCGCAAAATGGGGTTTCAGACAGGGCGACTCCCTTTCAAGTGACTTCTTTAATCTGATGTTGGAGAAGATAATAAGAGCTGCAGAACTGAACCGCTCAGGAACAATTTACTACAAGAGCGTGCAATTGCTGGCTTATGCCGATGACATCGACATCATCGGTAACAAAAACCGCGAAGTATGTTCTGCCTTTTCGAAGTTGGATAGGGAAGCAAAGCGAATGGGTTTGGTGGTAAACGAGGACAAGACGAAGTATCTCCTGTCATCAAACAAACACTCAGCGCATTCGCGCCTTGGCACCCACGTCACTGTTGACAGTTACATTTTCGAGAAAGTAAAGAATTTCGTTTACTTGGGAACCAGCATAAACACCGATAATAGGCCGGTATTATCACTTGCGAAGCGAATGAATTTGGCGAAGCGAACGGTTTGGCGAAGCGAATGGATTGGCGAACGCAACTTAAATATGCATTAAGAGTGTTCGCTTTTACCAGCTTGTGCAAGTTCTTTGCATCGCAAACACTTTCAATACCTTCTCTGCCTTTTAATTCGCTTCGCCAAACCGTTCGCTTCGCCAAAATCATTCGCTTGGCAAGTGATAATACCACCCATAATGTCAGCATTGAAATCCAACGCAGAATCACTCTTGCCAACAAGTGCTACTTTGGACTGAGTAGGCAATTCAGGAGTAAAGTCCTCTCTCGACATACGAAAATCACGCTCTATAAGTCACTCACCATGCCCGTGCTGGTATATGGCGCAGAAGCATGGACAATGACAACATCCGACGAGGCGGCTCTTGGAGTGTTTGAGAGAAAGATTTTGCTTAAGATTTACGGGCCTGTACGCGTTGGCGACGGCGAGTACCGCAGACGATAGAACGATGAGCTGTATGAACTTTACAACGACACGGACATAGTGCAGCGAATTAAAATACAGCGGCTACGCTGGCTTGGCCATGTCGTTCGAATGGACACCGACGCTCCAGCTCTGAAAGTATTCAACTCGGAACCCGCTGGTGGTAGCAGAGAAAGAGGGAGGCCCCTACTGCGATGGAAAGATCCNCCCCACTGCGATGGAAAGATCAGGTGGAGAAGGACTTGGCTTCACTTGGCGTTTCCAATTGGCGTCAGTTGGCACAGAGGAGAAACGACTGGCGTGCTTTGCTGAACTCGGCCAAAATCGCTTAGGCGGTTACAGCGCCAAAAAAGAAGAAGAAGAAGGGTTACCATCACTTAGCGCGGCCAAAGGCCGCCTACGCATAAAGGAGATCAGCTTCTTTTCTCCGGCAACACAGAAAGGAGAATTTTGCATGGTAATGGTTACAATCCTAAGCGCGAAAGAAGTTCTGCGAAAAAATACTGTGGATAGTGAGCCGGTGTTGCACGGACTAGGATTGTTTTATTCAAAACCTTTGTAAAGTGATGACTATTGACAGCATGTTGCATATCCAATGAAAGCTTGATTAATTTCACTGGTCTACAAGGGTTTTGCGAATAAGACGGGACCTGGTGTTTCCGAACGGATTTTTCGTGCTGAACACGAATCTGGGGTCCAAAACTTCCCATCACGTCACGTTTTCGAGAAAAAAGGGGTTGAAACCCCTAAAAACAGCGTTTTTGGCCATTTTTGAAAAATTGTAGAGCTGAACCCTGACGTGCTACAAACTTTGTATATGTCAGAAATTAAAGGCTAAATCGTGCCCTTTCGAATGAGCCCTATGCCGAATTAATCGCATGCACCCTTAGATCAGGGGGTGTATTTGTGTCTAGGAGTCCAATTTTTATATCCACCATATTCGACCCGTCATCTTAAATTTTTAAAATCTAACTGCAGATTCGTAATCAGCGACTTTTAATATAGTTAAAACCTTGGCATTATTAATTTTCTATGATCGTTTAAGATTAAATTCTTTCTGTGATCAATTTTTCCTGCACCCCTAAACACAAATACACCCCCTGCTTTAAGGGTGCACGCGATCAATTCGGCATAGGGCTCATTCGAAAGGGCACGGTTTAGCCTTTAATTTCTGATATATGCAAAATTTGTACCACGTCAGGGTTCAGCTCTATAATTTTTCGAAAATGGCCAAAAACGCTGTTTTTAGGGGTTTCAACCCCTTTTTTCTCGAAAACGTGACGTGATGGGACATTTTTGACCCCGGATTCGTGTTCAGCACGAAAAATCCGTTCAGAAACACCAGGTCCCGTCTTATTCGCAGAAAAAAAGTTGAAATTTGTAGACCAGTGTTTTCGATTTAATTCTACAACTTTTGCATATAACAAATAAGGTGATAAAATGGGTTTGTAAACACGTGCGATCATTATACGATGCTTTACAATTTTGACATTCCAATTCGCAAAATTGTATTTGTGTGCGAAGTGCGATTTCATATTCAGCAAACGGTTGTTTGTTCAACCTTGCCGGCTTGAATGCCTCCGTTGCTGTATTTTTCTTCAGCAAACAGTATTTATCAAACGCTTTGATGATGCTATCAATTGTCGAATATGTTGATTTGTAGGTAACACATTTGCACCACTGCCGTCATTTTGATTTGGTTTTGATTCGGCGACGCTACAAACATTCGCTGCTACCGTTATTCGGGAACAATATGTTAAATATTTGTGTGCGCGCTACGATTCCACAGAGCCTGGCTTCCAACCAGGTTTAACCCAACATCAAAAACTAGAAAACCAAAAAAATATTTGTTTTTGTTATTTTATGACCTTATAACAATTATATTCAACAATTTTCATTGAGTTCGAGGCCGTTTTTTATGAAAACTTATTGTGAAAGAAGTCTGATGAGGATATGTGGGGATTTCCGAAATAGCTATCACTTCTACATTGTTTTCATATTATTGTTGCTTTTCCACAATAAGTTTTCATTAAAAAACGGCCTCGAGCGCAATAAAAATTGTTGAATATAATTGTTATAAGGCCATAAAATAACAAAAACAAATAACTTAAGGACGAGCACACCTAAAAGTTAAACATTCTAATAATAGAAATATTAACAAAAACCAACAAAACCAACAACCACATGATCAAGTGAATTGCAGCGGATTAGCTGCGCTTGATTGTAGTTGGCTTAACAAGTGAAATAGTGGAAATAAGCAACAGGAATTAACAAGGCGAACTTATCACAGTGCGTAGGCAACAGCCTGAGTCAGTGGGATCGTCGGTTCGAATCCTACTGAAAGAAGTCTGATGAGGAAATGTGGTGATTTCCGAAATAGCTATCACTTCTACCATTTTTTCAAATTATTGTTGCTTTTCCACAATAAGTTTTCATTAAAAAACGGCCTCGAGCTCAATAAAAATTGTTGAAAACAAAAAAAATATTTTTCTAATAGCGGTCGTCGTTGGCAGGCAATGGCAAACCTCCGAGTGTATTTCTTCCTTGAAAACAGCTTCTAATAAAAATACAATCGCTGTTCGGAGTAGGCAGAAGACTGTAGGTCCCTTTGTGTGACATCAAGGCGCACGCCACGAGTTGGAGGAGAATCTCGGCCATACACTAACATATGTGTAAGCGCCAATCTATTATTATGTTATATGTTTCCACCCCTCGCTGACCAATCAGCCACAGAAAGTAGCAATCTTGTTTTGCTTGGACTCAGACATCTTANGGCCATACACTAACATATGTGTAAGCGCCAATCTATTATTATGTTATATGACCAATCAGCCACAGAAAGTAGCAATCTTGTTTTGCTTGGACTCAGACATCTTGTTATTCGTTATTAGATATATTACGAATGTTTGTTTCCATTGGCCATTCGGAGCAGTCCAATGGTTGTGGTAAACGCAAACCCAATATCGTCTTCATCTTTGCAAGTTTTTCACTTCTGACACTGTGTTTAAGGTTTAAAATATTCTCTTTATTTGCGTCTATTCACTTCGATAATAATCTCTACCATACAAATGCACTTTTGGCAATACATCTAATTATTTAATAGCAATGGACAACGAAGTCCGATAACATTTTAGGCTCTAATGCTTAATGCAAACTCGCAATATTATTCTTAGGGCTAAGTTAAATTTAATAACTTAACAAGTACATATCGTCACCTGAGTGGAAGATCGACCTTTCTCGGCAATCAGTTCGAAAACGCCCTATCTCAGAAAACATTTCAAGAACGCCCTACTTCAGAAGTTAATTCAAAAACACTATCTCAGAATTTTGTTGAAAAACGGCTTATTTCAGCCGCCGATTCAAAAACGCCCTATCTCAGCACATTTTCAATTTATTTTCAGCTGAGATAAGGAGTTTTTGAACCGAATTCTGAGTTAGGGCGATCTTCGACCAAATTCTGAGATAAGATGTTTTTCAATCAAATTTTGAAATAGGGCGTTCTTTAATCAAATTCCGAAGTAGAGCGTTCTTGGAAAGTTTTCTGAGATTGGGCGTTTTCGAACTGGCTGCCGAGATAGGTTGATCTTCCACTCAGGTGACTATATATTTAGTTTAATTACGTAATCTTCCATCTATTTATTTACATAATTATATTACATTTTGTATATGGCATTTTGTCATGTTTCATCAAATATATATATTTTCATACAATTACGACTTTATAGATTTAATATCAGTCCCGAAACCATTATTTTATATGGGCAAAGTATTGGAACAGTGCCGACGGTTGATTTGGCTACAAAGCATGAAGTTGGTGCAGTTATTCTTCATTCCCCATTAATGTCTGGATTAAGAGTGGTTTTCCGCAACACAAAGAGAACATGGTTTTTTGATGCATTCCCAAGGTAAGTACCCATATAATTATACAAACATGTTTCAGATGAAAAATAATGTTTGCATTAGTATTGACAAGGTTTCCAAAGTGAAGTCACCTGTTCTTGTAATACATGGAACCGATGATGAGGTCATAGATTTTTCACATGGGATCGGCATATATGAGCGCTGTCCAAAAGCTGTGGAACCTTTATGGGTGGAGGTAATTGTATTTATATACACAACTCCGCAAATTTAACTTAACAGCAGACAATTTCTTGAGAAATATTTTTCGAGTTTCAATTTCTTCAATTACACAGTGCTACAAAAAAGAATGAAGTAGAAATAACTGGGAAATGGTGTCGAGAAAAACAAGAATCGAAATATGAAATTTGCCAAACACCCCCAAAATCTTGACATACGGTTAAAACCCGGGGTTTCGTACCTCTGCGCACTTCATTGCCTGTAACTTCATTAACTACACTGGTTTACAGAAAAAATGCACACTGGATGCCACTATCCAATTCCTATGTATAATTGCTCACTGATTCCGAAAATCGGGTTAAAATTCTGACTACTTAACGGCCACACACAAAGGGCCCAGGCCCTGCGGAGTGATAGCACGCACTGCTAAGCACTACAAAACATCGGCCGCCGTTAAGCATATAACAGTCTGAATTAATCTTATAAAATGGCTATCCTGCGAGTTTGTTTTTTTCAATGCCAAAAATAAATTCTGAAAAAAGTTTTGAGTAAAAGTAAATATCGCCAAAAACATTAAATCGCTGTCAGAGATTCATTTTTTTTAACATCTTCCAATAGTGCCACTGCTAAGAAAAACATGTATGGGTATTTATTAAAAAATGTCATTTATTAAGTAAAACACTCGAAAATCAAAAAAATTTAGCCTGATTTGTGGTTGCGTGTCATAAAATTCTTAACGCTGACGACACACAATCAGTTTTGCCTTTCAATTTCCTCCCACACATTGCTTGTCATCAAAATTGAAAGTCATTACGTAGGCTGCATTCAATTTGAGAAGCAATTTTACTATCAACATGTCTTCAAGAAAACAATGTAACTAACTAGCTTCTGAAGACCATTTTCCATTTTTAATTCCATTGTAAATTAACATTTTAACATGCAGAAGCTTAGTATTTTTTTATTTTCACAAAATTTAAACTCAATTGAAAGTGAAAAATTTAAACCAAGTTGCCCATTCAAGTAATAAATATTTATGGCTGTGTGTTAGTAAAAAAGTGTGACTGTATTGAAAATTGAAAGGGGAAAATTGAATGTGTAACGTCCCGGTAAATAACGATCAAGTGTTTTTTCTTACAAACATTGCACTTAGAGAGTTTTGTATCATGTTATGTATGGTGTACGTCAGACATGGGCACATTTGCCCGTATGAGCTTTTTTGCCCGTACGATTAAGCGAGTCCATTTCGCGTACGCCACATATATGAGCAGCGGTGATCACTACCCCAAGTAAACACGAGCTGAAAGTGTAATTGTGTTAGTGTGCCAATTACGTTTGAATGATTTTGCGTTCATTTTGTTACGCTCTCGCATGTATACGCATGTAATGCTTACGCTCTTTAAGCAGGCGCTCATTCTCTGTCCATGCTTGTATATGGGCAAATTTGATATCGCTATAACTGTTGCCAACTTTGTGCCTTTCGCAATAAATTAAGTGCGTTTAGGGAATTAAAACTAGACAATTTTTTAGTTTAGCGCTTGTTTCGTTCTTTGGTGCCCTTTTCAATGTAATTTTATAATAAAAACGTAATTCTATGGTAAAATTTTATATATTTTGTTCATTCATTTATTCATTCCAAACGTACGGAAAACTTTAACCGTTGACTTACACATATGTTAGTGTTTGGCCGAGCTTCTCCTCTGGATAATACGCTCCCAGATAATCTAATCGCAATATTTTCACACAGTCTCTATCACGGAATTTATAGAATATTCTGCTAATTAGCTGGCATTTGTACAAAAGTAAGCTTAGCATTTGTACAAAAGTAAGCAATTGCATGAAAATGAAGCCGCTAGAGAAACCAAGTAAAGTTTTGCAAATTGTTTTACGAATAAAAAAAAAATTGCTAATTAAATTAATTAATTGCGCATAGTTGGAAATATTTACAAGTGACATTGCGTGATTACTTAAAATATTTGAACATGCAGCTTTATATGCAAAAATACCATTAAACACAGCAATACAAATATGGTGTTTTTTTTGGGGGGGGAAATTATTTTCAGTGTTTTGGTGCTTTTTTAAATAAAAAAACTTGGCAATACTGATCACTAGCTGACCTTCATCGAGCGCTCTGGGTTCGGACTGCGAAAATGGGAGTAAAAATCAAGTTTTCGTAGTAGATGTGCATTTTTTATCTTCAACAATTCATTTCTCCTCGTATCACTATATTGTGGGACTAAATAAGGGGCTAACAGGTCTATTCTGCGCTGGTATTAAGAGTTTTGTAACCGGTAAATTATGTTCCTGTCAAATTTTAAACCCTTTTCGAATTCTGTGTACTCTTGTAAGCGGTAAATTTTGTTACCATGTTGTTGTTGTTGTTGTAGCGGCTACAACAACCCCGCCCAGATCGGTTGGTATCTCAGTCGTTGTCGTCAAGTTCCACTAACGGCAACCCTAGGAAGCGTGCGCTTCTGCGGGGTTTGCCCATAGGGACAAGGCCGTTAGGGATGTCGGGTTTTCCGGGCATGCGGAGAGATGTTTCGAGTCATGTGGGGTCTCTCCGCATGACGGACATTCGTTCGGCACATCCTCATTCAACCTACTCAAGTAGGAGTTTAACCTGCTGCAGTAGCCGGAGCGAAGTTGTGCGAGTGTAGTGCGTGTCTCCCGAGGCAGATGAAGCTCCGTCTCGTCTATGTCCGGGGGTGGTGTGCCTAGAACGGCATTCACAGGTCTAGAGTCTACATAACTCGAGACTGAGTCCCTGTGAATGCCGTTCAGGGCCTGTCTGTAAGCTGTCGGGTCCAGAGGTTGCTTAATGAACCTCTGGACTTCGTCCGTTAGTTCATATAGATGCCTCCTGACGTGCCTAGGCGAGGGCTCCTCTGCAAGCAGCTGTCTGCTTGGGTGGCCACTTCTGTGGCTCCCGATCAGGAACTGCTTGCAGAGCATTATATTATGCTCCTTTACAGGGAGCATTTGCGCCTCGCCGTGCAGGTGGTGTTCAGGCGACATCAAGAGGCATCCCGTCGCTGTCCTGAGTGCGGTGTTTTGTACAGTCTGTAGCTTCGTCCACTGCGTCCTACTAGTCCCTGGCGACCACACTGGCGCTGCGTAGTTCAAAACCGGCCGGCCTATTGCCTTGTATGTTGCCAGCAACGTTTCTTTGTCTTTGCCCCAAGTACTGCCGGCTAGCGACTTGAGGACCTTGTTGCGGCTCTGTACTTTATTGACAATAGCGGTTGCGTGCGCAGAGAAGGAGAGCAGGCTGTCGAATGTTACTCCGAGTATTTTGGGGTTATTCACCGTCGGAATTGGTGTGTCATCGACGTGAATCCCCAGCGGTAGCCTGACCTCCTTCGTCCAGGTTGTGAACAGGGTCGCGGAGGATTTCGTAGGGGAGAGGGCTAGACACTTTGCAGTGAAGAAGCGAGAAAGTTCGGAGAGATAGCCGTTTACTTTCGAACACAGGTCATCAATTCCATTCCCAGTCGCCATGATCGAGCAATCGTCGGCATAAGAGACAATCGAGACTCCCTCTGGTGGTTGAGGGAGCTTTGAAATGTAAAAGTTAAACAGTAGCGGGGAAAGGACACCACCCTGAGGAACCCCCTGTTTTATTTTTCGCTGCTTACTCGTTTTGTCTCTAAACATTACCGACGAATGTCGACCACTCAGATAATTTGCCGACCACCGTTTGAGCCTCTGTGGGAGAGAGGAGGCCTCTATATCTTCTAGTAGCGTGGAATGGCAGACGGTGTCAAACGCCTTTGACAAGTCCAACGCTACTAGAATCGTTCTCTCACAGGGACGGTTACGGTTAAGGCCACGAGTTATCTGAGTGTTTATGGCGTTAAGTGCTGTTGTTGTACTGTGCACTTTACGGAAACCATGCTGATGCTTCGCTGGGGTCAGGTGGTTTGTGAAGTACGGGAGTAGCAAGGCCTCGAGTGTCTTCGCTACCGGGGAAAGGAGTGTAATCGGACGATACGAATCTCCTTTGTTGGCAGGTTTCCCCGGTTTGAGCAGTGGGACCACTCTCCCCACCTTCCAGATGTCTGGGATGATGAGAGTGGCCATTGACAAATTGAGGACCTCCGTTAGGTACGCTACCCCCGCAGGACCCAAATTTTTCAGCATCAGCATGCATATTCCGTCGGGACCCATGGCTTTGGAGGCTTTCGCCTTCCCGATGGCCACCTGAACTTCACCGCAAGTGAAAGCAAGGGGGGCACAAGTTGTTGGCAGTTTGTGCAGCCTTCTGGTCACTCGACGCTTGGCTTTGTCCACCGGAGGATGCAGTATGAACTGCCGGCTAAAATAGCTCGCGCATCGCTCCGGGTCCGACGAAGCATGGTCGCCGAAGGAAATTTCGACTCTGTCGTCGTGCTTCGTCGGATTAGACAATGACCTCACGGTTGACCAAAGCTTGCTCACACCAGAGGTGAAATTACAAGTCTTCAGATGCTCCTCCCACTTCTTCCGCTTATGTACGTTTACAAGTTGCCGAATCTCCGCGTTGAGATCCCTGATACGGGGATCTCCGGGATCGGCCTGACGAAGGCTATCACGCTCATCGGCTAGAACAGCCGCTTCGGCAGGGAAGTTTGGACGTGGGTCCGATATACATCCTGCCGGTATGAAGCGAGCTGCAGCAGCAGTGATAGCCCTGCGGAACTTACGTTCACCGAGATGGACGTCGGTTGGTGTGGGGAGCGCTGTGAAGGTGTTTTCGGTAAACTCCGCGTAACCTTTCCAATCAGCTTTAGAAAAGTTGATATAGGTCCGGTGTTTGGCGGAGGCAAAGTCGGTTGGTTTATCAATCGAGATGACTATGGGTAGATGGTCTGATGCTAGAGTCAGCATAGGTCGCCACGTTATGCTGTTTATCAGACCAGCGCTGACTATTGTGATGTCTGGCGAGCTACTGCAGTTACCCATAATCCTGGTGGGTGCGTCGTCGTTCATTGTGCAGAATGTCGAATCGTCTATCTGCTCAGCCAAGTCTGTTCCCCTACGATCGTTTGACAGGCTTGAGTGCCAAAGATCGTGGTGCGCATTAAAGTCACCTACTACCATACGGTTTTCAC